ATAACTTTTAGAAACATATAAATGGGTTTTGTTTAAAATATCATAATGTATGCTTCACTTTAGTGAAAAGGATGAAAGCTCTGCTTTGAGACCAGATTATTTTTTATGGCTATAGGGGTTGCAGGGTCTGGCCTTGGAGAGATGCAGCTCTGAGAAGCAAGAAAATCAGAGAAACAGGATCCAGTGGCAAAGTCCAAATTGGAAACCAGACAATTACAGGATTCTGCAGAAAGATGGTTTGATCCTGGGGAATTCCAGAGTAGAAGAACAAGGTCTGAACTAGATGGTTGGAGTTAGTGCCTGGAGCTCCTGAGGTTCATAGATCTTTGGCAGTGGGTGAAGAGGGCTCTTTTGAAGGCAGTTTGTCAGCCTTGATGTTGTAGAACATTCTTCTAGCCTTTGTTTTAAAAATCTCTAAATTAAGAAAAGGTATTTGGTCCTCAGTGTGCAATCCTCAAGGGAATAAATAGGCCTGGCTCAGTGTTTACAGTTAAGTTAGCAAAGAATCTAAATCACGGAATTGCCGCTAGGGCCTTGGCTAGTGCTGTTTGCCCAGTCATCACCTTTCCTACTTCCTCAACTCCACCTGTGTGGGCCTTCCACCATTCTACCTGACCTTTAAAGTACAGCTTAAATTCCACCCCTTCCGTCACACTGGCCCGACCCCCTTGGCATCTTACGCTGTAGATAAATTCAAAGCATAGGGCAGCGATGGTGAACCTTTTAGAGACGAGTGCCCAGACTGCAACCCAAAACCCACTTATTTGTCTCAAAGTGCCAACACTGCAGTTAAACCTGAAGACTGAAGTTTTCATTTAGGAAAAAAACTCATACATCAATGTATTTTGCCTTAAAAGAAAAACAAATAACTCATGTGCCATAGGCTCGCCACCACTGGTATAAGGGGAAGGGAAGCACCCTTGTAAAATGCAGTATTTAGCAGCTCTGCTAAATTCATCAGTTTGAATGAATACAGACTATAACGAAATGCTTAGTGGAGAATATAGGGTAGATGTGTGTGTCTGCGTGTGTATGTGTGTGGTTGTTAGTGTGGGAACCAGTAAAGAACAGCCGTATAGAATCTAAGGTCTGTGAGGGAGTTTAGAAAAGTTAAGGTTAGACTTAATATTCAGTAGGAGGGTTGGATTCTGGTCACAGTTGATTTTTGAAACAGGTGGTATTTGATCAAGATAGAAGACCAGTTAGATCAAGATTTGGTTAATAGTCAAAAGCCATGGTCAGTTCATGAGCAGATGGGTGGTATGTGGTGAGGTAGCCCGCTCTGATCCCAGGTCTGTCTGCTGGTCCAGGCAGGCCTAGGTGTTAAGGAGCATCCCTGAGCTAGCGTTTGGTCTACTCGTATTTCAGTGCACTGGAGAGGAGCAAGGCAGCTAGAAAAGCACCGTTCAGCTCCTGCAGTTCCTTTTTCCTCGTAGATTTTTCCTAAATAGTGAAACCTACAGAAGGCTTGACCTTACACGGTAGCATCATTTTTAAAGTCCTGTGATGGTAGGAATACAAGTAAATGACATTCACAGATACTATTAGATCATGTAGTTTTACTTTCTCCATCTCTGTGTAACTCCAGCTCTTTTCTAGGTGTTTAGAACATCAAAAATGGCTCTAGCTTTAATTCTCTTTATTTGCCCTGCCATTTATTGTGGAGTAAATTAACCCCAATACACCTTTTTGTGGTGGGGAGGCTGTGAAGAAGGATCAAAAGAAGGCAGTAATCTAATCTATAACGGTATCGTTGGTGCTTAGATAATTGCTTTAAGGAATTTGGGTTTCAGATTTTGATTGAAAAACTGTGTGAAGATTATATAAAGCTTGGTAGTATTTGTAGAGGACCACCTGAGCAGCTCTCCTTGGAGGAGGAGCAGTTGTCTCCATTTTGGCCGAACCTGACCCTATTTCCAGTATTGATGTGTGCAGAGCTGGCCAGGACTTTTCCTTATCATTTCAGTTGGCTTTAAGCAATGCATATTGGTCCAGGAAAGGCGCTGATGTGTAGGCACCTTTGAAGCAAAGACGACAGGACAGTGTTTCCCCAGGCTCCCATAGCTTCCAAATAAAACGTGTGAGCTGGGGCAAGGTAGGATGGAGAGCCATGCTCCATGCTGTTGGCTGGGATCAGGCTTCAAGATCAGAGGCTATGACTTCCAGGGCATAAAGGATTACACATCAGAGCTGAAGCACCAACCCTAAAACATCACATTCTACCTCAGTTGTGTTACGCAGTTTCCTCTTTCCTTCTCTCTGCATTTGCAGAGGTGATTTCAGGCCTCTGACCTAGGACAGCTCAGGGCACTCACCTGCTTCCTACGGTTCTCACAGTCACTCATCCTCGGGCCACTCCCTTCTTCCTGAATGAATAAAACCTGGGTTTGGCCTTGGATTGAGACATTTCCAGATGGCCGTCATCATGGCTGGACTTAGGACCCCTTGGCTCCCCATAACTACAAATATGCCTTAATGTCTTTATTCTCATCATGAGTTGCACTGGAAGTGGTAGATTGGAATTAACTTGCTAGAATTCCAGTAATGTTTCCATGGGATTACAATATAAGCATCCAGGGCCGTGAAGAGGACTGGGAATACTATACTCTGTATAGTATTAATAATGAATTATTCTATGAAATATAAGGCATGTATCTTAATTTAAAAATGATATGAAATGCAGTGATTGGAAGTAACTTCAATCCTTAAAAATATAAAAAGGTAGGAAGATTATTTTAGTTATGAAAAATCTCAAACATATAAATGTGTTTATGTATACAGACATGTTTAAACATAGAGCGCATAATAGAATGCATTGCTTTAATTTGTCACCTGAAGTCAACAGTTACCAAAGTTTTGTGACCCTTATTTCACCTGTCTCTTTGGATTGTTCTTTGCTGAAGTATTATATTGTGACTATTATTTCTACACACTTGAGTGTGTGTCTGTAAAAGCATGAACACTTTCTTCCATGTCCCAGATGTCATTGCCACATCCTATAAATAATTCCTAGTATCCGCTAATATTTGAAAGTATGTAAATTTGCACTGGTACACAGCCACATCTTTTTACAATTGGTTTGTTCAAGTCAGGATCTAAGGCAGATTCACACGTTGCATTTAGTTGTTATGGCTTTGACTCTTGTGTAATTTAGTGGTTTGGAGATTTGAGAACTGGTTTTGGTGGTCAAGGGACTTGGATGGGAAAAAGCACGGGTGAGGAGGTGGCTTTAATCCATACTGAAAGGAAACCTTCAAAATCACAGACCCTGCTGGGAGTAGGGAAATTTGATTATAGTTTTTATTGTTGAAAATCTTTAAATCCATGTCAGACCTTTTTAAGTGCCCCCCACCCCTGGTTTTGTAAGGCAGGCTCTTGCTATATACACATAGTTCAGGCTACCCTTCAGCTCACTATGTAACCTAACGCTGATCTCAAACGCATGGTGATCCTCCTGCATCAGCCTCCTGAGTACTGTAGATATGTGCCACCATATCCAGCATAATTGCCCTTAAGGGGTGAGAGACAGGCCGAGAGGGAGAGAGAGAGAGAGAGCTGTATGAAGCATATGCCTAAAGATGAGTTGTTTTTTGGAATATGTAGTCAGAAACTGAAGTTCTGGATTTGACACCAAACTAGAATGAAGAAAAAGGGGCCAGGGATATAGCTCAGTGGCATAAGTGCCTGCTTGGCAAGCACAAGGTCCGGAGTTCAATTCCTGGTATCAAAAAAGAAAAAAATAGAATGAAGAAAAAAAATCCAAAATGTATTTTTAAGAAATCTAATTCTCACTACAAATTGTAAATCAGTTGTCTTTCTGCAGACTCTCTTCCTCAATTTAAAAAAAATATTTTTTTTTCTTTTGGTCTGTATCAGTTTATTTCCAGATATTAATTTCAGTTAAATCCAAGTACTGTCCTTCAAAGATAATTGTGTCTACTTACCAGTGCGAATGCCATTTCTCCAGATAATATTACATAATCTGGTACAGTGTAAACTTAAAAATTGAAAAAAATTAGCTGTTCTTAGGCACTCTAGGATAACACTTAATGTAATATAGTGGGAGCCACAGACTTAATGTTTAAATAACTTTGAAACATTTTTGCCTTCTCCAAGATAACTTGTATTCTTAATACTCCCTAGGTTTTGGAGTTCTGATTTTTTATAGAGATTAAAATAATAAATTAAAACAATATAATTTAAACTGTGTTTACTTTGAAGATATACAATCTATATACATATAGCACATTTATTATAGTATACCATAAAGTTATATTCTCTCGTTGGAGGTCTTAATTTCTTTCTTTTTTTCTATGCTGGGAATTGAACCCAGAGTGAGCTAAGCTGTATCCTCAGTCCTTTTTTCATCTTATTTTATTTTTAATTAATTAATTTCTTTTTTTTCTTTTGTACTAGATTTGAACCCAGTGCCTTTGCACTGAGCTATATCCCCAGCCCTTTTCTAATTTTTGTTTTGAGACAGGGTATTGCTAAGTTGTCTGGATTGAGTTCAATCTTGCGATCCTCCTGCCTTACTCTCCTAGAATGCCATATTTCATTTTATTAAGACAGGGTCTCACTAAGTTGCTCAGGCTGGTCTCAAACTTGCAGTTCTCCTGCCTCAGCCTCCTGACGGCTGCACCACCCTGCCTGGCGAAATCTTGCTTCTTATAGTATGAACATCTGTGAGAACTTGGTTAACCTTCTTTAGAACATTCTGAGTGTGGAGGCAAGCCTATGTATTAAAGCTTACTTTGCAGCCAGTGCACATGCTTGGCACATACTAGCTGAAAGAAGTGGGACCTTTGATAGCTTTAAATTCTAAGACGCCTAGTACAGAGTCGGTGAAAGGGATAAAGAGACATTTTTTAGTTCCACCCTCCCTATCCCAAGGGAAAGATACTGTATTTATCTTATCAGTGTTAATGTGTATCAGTAGCTTATACTTCTATTTTGTGATACCTGATAATTCCGAATGTTCACTTATATGTATCTTTTAGGTGCCCTAATGTGAATCTGCAAAAGCTGCCGGAACAGTGGTTGTGGAATGTTTTGGAGGAAATTAAATGCAGTGACCCTTCATCCAAACTCTGTGCTACAAGGCGCAGTGCTGGGATCCCTTTCTACATACAGGTACTTACCTCACGGCTGTAGCTGTTTGTCTTTTGGTAGTGTCTTCTAACCTTGACGTACAAGTAAGTCACATGAGGCCCGTCTCTGTCTTTTCAGTACTCCGTGTAGGATCTGTGGCTTTGTTTTAATATGTGGACAGTGTTCTGTGACAGATCTGTTCTTGGAACAAACCTTTTAAGAGGGCAGTCTTGTAATGGGGAGGGAGGTAGAGATTTCTGCCTGTATTAAGTAGGCAGACATCATTGTGGTGCATTCATTGATCACACCCAGGAAGTACAGACCTCCACTCTGCCCTCCACTCCAAATTACAAAAAAGTCTACTTCTCACTTTAAGATCCTCAGGCATCTCCAGTATTAGCAGTATGTTTTGAATCCTTCCATAAAATTACCATAATCTTAATAGTAGCTCACATTTATTAGTAATTTCACATATTACCTCATTTAATCCTTCCCCAAACCCTATAAGGCAGGCGGTTATATTTACCATAGAGAAAGAAACTACTGTATATAGAGAAAGAAATTGGGGCTTAGAAAAGATGTGTGACTTGCCAAAGGCCCAGTGGTAGTGAGCGCTGTGAGGACTTGAGCCCCGGTTGCCTGACTTCTGACCTGTCTGCCTGTGAGAACGTGTGTGTGCACATGTGCGTGCAACCCCTGCATACCACTGAGAACATGCTACATCTACTATTTGCTTCTTGCTTCCTAATTTCACCTTGAAGGTTGTCCAGATCAGCACACCCAGGGTGTTCCTGTCGATTGATGTTTCATCTCCATAGTGTAAAAAATGAGACTAACCTCTTCATGATCCCAAAGAATAAAAAGCAATGTCCTCACAGTACTGAATCAGACTCTACCCCAAATGGCCTTGTTTAATATGGAGTAAGGGAAGATCCAAGAATGGAGGAGCATCATGAAAACAGTGTAAAGAAATGAAGTCTCTGTGTTATTACTCCTATATTTTACCTTTCTTTTTTATTCCTCTGTCAAATTCCCAATCCCTTCATGATTTTTTGGTGACAGTGGAGCACCAGTTGCAGAACTTGTTGACAGAGGTGGATTAGTTCTGCTGCCTAAATTTTGGTGACCTTTGGAAATCAACTCCTCCCTGATCTGACCCTTTCTAGATCGGTGAGGTTCATTCTCCTGCTTGGAATTCTTTCTGACCTGGTGTATTATACGTCATTTGTCTGAGGACAGATGTGAAGGTGACAGCATGGTCTCGCTGCATGTGTCTGCTATGTGTTTATCCTGCCGATGGTTTTCGGCTAGTGCTGTACTAGCTGTTGGTTATAGTGGCTAGCAGAAGGATTAGCAGGTGAACTTTCTTACCTCAGCCTCACTTGGCACTCACTAACTTTACCCAGCCCTTTAAAGAAGAAAGCAATGGTTCCCAGAAGATATATGGGTCATTGAATTTAACTTTTCTTATTTATTTGAGAAGAATAAAGCATAAATTATGTGAGAAGTCTGTTCAAAGAAAGTTCCATTTATTTCTCTCAGCATAACTTACCAATAAAGTTGTATTCTCGTATTAGCTGTGGAGAATTCTTCCTGCTTAGTTTATAAACTGTCATGTAGACAGGTATAACACTTTTGGAACAGTATTTAACAATAATATATATGTCTTAAGAGCATAAATCCACTGTGAGAAATTTCTTTTAAACCTGTTTTGTGTGTGTGCCTTATATTTTCCTCTTCTGTGGTTTATAAGTGCTTCAGAAATCAGAGTAACTTAAAACTTCCACTCTGGGGAGCCAGTAGCTTTCTGTGGTACTCATGAAAAGTAGATATAAAGAAGGAAATCAGAATGTAGCTAACGTGATTTTTCTTTAACAGCTTTGTTGAGATATAATTCACTTATGATATAATGCATGTATTTAAAGCATATAATTCAAGGATTTCTGGATTTGCAGAGTTGTACAACCATTAGCAAAATCTAATTTTGGAATAGAACATCACTTGAAAAATCCACAAGCCCATTAGCAGTCACTGCTCCTTCCCCTCCACCTCTGCTCCCCCCAGCCCTAGGCAACCGCTAATCTCCCTTCTGGACATTTCGTGTACATGGAGTCTTGCAATATGTAATCTTTTGTGTCTGGCTTCTTTCATTTAGTATTATGTTTCCAAGTGCACATGGTTGCATCTGTCAGTACTGTGTGCCTTTTTATTGCCTCAAGTGGGTTAATATCGCATACTTAACGTTTATTAAATATCGGCAGTGCTTATCACAAAGTCAATAACCAACTCCTTCAGACTTCAAATACGGGATCCCTTTGGATTCTGTATTTCTTCTTGTCCTGTGGAGTTTTAAATATCATTCAGTTAGTCTTCTAGGAGTAGACTCTTCTGTGACGTATTAAGTAACTGATCAGTCTATAAGAAGCCTCAAAACAATTAAGTAAAGGGAATTTTTGTGTTGGCTAAATTTGTTAACAAAAGTGCCTTACGTAGTTCTGTCAGAAACTTGCCACCAAATTGTGGTGCATAAGGCGTGGTCAGTGAGAGCCACTGTACAGCCTCTTTGCATGCTTAACAAGCAGGTGATTGGGAGGTGGCCCATCTACTTATCCAAAGCAACGTGGTGCCTTGCCAGCTGTGCTTCTATAAAGGAAATTTTGAATTAGGAGGGTTCAAGTTTGAGAATTGATACAAGGAAACCACAAACAGGTACATGTCAAATAAAAGCCCATTAATTTTTGTGTTGTTTTTTCATAGGCATTGTTGGCATCTGAACCAAAGAAAGGCAAAATGGATTTGTTGAAAATAACAATGAAAGAGTTAATCTTTTTGGCTGGGCCCACAGATAACTCACAGAGCACAGTCCCCCAGGTAATAAGGGAAATACACAAAACTTGCTAGGAGGGCATTGGGTTTAAATCTTTGCTATGTATTATTTTTGAAAAGTATCTGTTAAAAGATATATAACTCATAGATAGGCAGACATTTGAGGTTTTATATGAATACTTCCTTGGATTTTTTTTTTTTTTGGTCTTTTGTCTACAAAATAAAGCATTGCTTTAATTGATAAGTACCTATTAAAATGAACTAGCCAGGCGTGATGATGCACGCCTGTAATCCCAGCACTCAGGAGGCTGATGCAGGAGGATCGTTTCGAGTTTGAGACCAGCCTGGGCTACAAAGTGAGCTCAAGTCCAGCCTGAACTGCATAGTGAGACCCTGTCTCAAAAAGACCAATAAATAAATAAAATGAATTGTTTTAAAACTTTGGTGAAAACATGCAACTGTTAGAAGTTATTTTATAATATTACTATTGCATCTAAAATTTTGAAAATGAATATGCATTCACTTTAGAATTTCATGTGTGCTTTGAGTTGATGTAGACTTTTTGACTCAGTAGTTAAGTCTTTAGATATAACATCTAACTTCTAGTATATTTCACAATTTAATTTTAAATTGTGTGTAATGTTTAATTTCTTAAACTGGAATTGATTTCAGTGTTCATTATATTCAGTGTGTATTTTTCTATGTTGACATATTTCAAAGATTCATTATATCACCTATAATTTGATTTTACATTTAAAATAAAAATACTGTAATTTCATTTTCCATTTAGAAAATTAATATTCAAGTATTTTTATCTAATACATCATTCCCTCTTAATTGTAATACCACCTCTGTCATGTACTATTTTTGTAGGTAAGCATTTCTGTTTTTTGTTCTCTTTTCCTGTGGTCTATTAATCTGTCCTTGGACCAAAACAATGATTTTAGTTACCATATTACCAATGATTCTAATTACCCTAGGGTAATTACTATTTAATTACCCTATGGTACTTTTATTACCATAGTAACTTATGAGATTGCATAAGATGAGTCAGTCTCTCTCTCTCTCTGTCTCTGTGTTCAGAACTGCTTTATTATATTTGTCCTGTTACACCTTTAAATCTTTGAATCACCTTATTAAATTCAACAAAAGACCTTTTCGGAGTTTTGGTTGGAATTCAGATGTGTTCTTCCATTAGGGAGAATGATTTCTCATCATTATTGAATCTTGCTTGCGGTCTGGGCCAGCTCAGTAGTAGAATGACTGTGCTGTGGCTCATTTCTCCATTTGTTCAGATCTTCCTTACTGTCTGCCATTAGCTTCAAAAATAGTTTTCCAGGTTGGGCACGATGGCACATCCTTGTAGTTTCAGCTACTCAGGAGGCTGAGGCAGGAATATTGTTTGAGCCTAGGAGTTCAGGGTCAGCTTGGGCAGCATAGTATGACCCTATCTCTTAAAAAATAAAATGTCCCCCATAAAAGCTCTATAACTCTTTTGTGAGATTTATTTCTATATATATTTTTGCGTGCAGTCATAAGTGATATTTTAAAATTTTGTATTGTCTTTTGCTGTTGTGTAACAATACAATTGATTTTTGTTCAGTTACTGTGGGTTTACCAGAATTGCTACAACACATGACTTCTCTGTGATTTCTTTTGGGTTTATTTATAGGTAATCATATTTTCAGTGATAATGATACTTTTGTTTTACCTTTCTAATACTTAATCTTTGTTTGTTTGTTTGGGACAAACTCTCACTATGTATCCTAGGCCAGCCTTGAACTTGCAGTGTAGACCAGGCTGTCCTCGGATTTATGGTCCTTCTGCCTCAGCCTCCCAAATGCTGCCATTATAGCAATGTGCCACAATGCCCAGCTCTAAATCTTTAAAAAAATTTTCTCATCTTATTCTGCTGTTGAAACCTGTAGTAGAATTATGAATAAAAATAGAGATAGCAGGAATCCTTATGTTGTTTTTGTTATTTGTTGTAATTTTTACTCTGTCCTTTACCTTGTTAAGGAAAGTGAATTTTATTGAATGCTTTCTTGCATCTTTTGAAATACACTTTTTTCCCTCTAAAATTTGCAAGTTCTATGAATTATGTTAATTTTTTAAGTGGAATACTATCTATATACTAAGCATGAACCCAACTTGGACATGATGTTTTTATACATTGTTAGATTTGGTTTAAAACTTTTAAAAAATAGATTTTTGTATGTTTCACTGGATTTGTGAGATTGGCTTGTGGTTTTCCTTTCTTATGATGTACCTGTCCACTTTTAATATGTATTTTGCATTTTGATTATCTTATACATAGAGAGGTGTGCAAGTCTTACTTGTACCTCAGTATAGTTTCCCAAAGGAACACACTTGTGTAGCCAGCAAAAAACAACATTTCTAGCGCCCAAAAGCCCGCTCATGCTCTTTTCCAATCAGCACCCTCCCCAGGAGTGCCACTGTGCTACCTTCTAACACCTTAGTTTCAGTTTTACTTATTATCTGAATTCTATAAAGATAAAACCACACATAGCTGGGTGTGGTCACTCGTGCCTGCAATCCTAATGCTCTGGGAGGCTGAGTTGAGTGGATTAGAAATTTGAGCCTGGGTAGTTTACCAGTTTAACAAGATCCTGTCTCAAAATAAAAAGCAAAAAAGGACTGAGAATGTAGGTCAGTGTGAAGGCCCCAGGTTCAATCTCCAGTAGTGTAAAAGCAAGCAGACACAGAAACTACATAAAGCCATACTTTTGATATGATCTCTTTTGGTTGACATTATGTTTATGATATCCATCAATATAATAATTTATTCATTTTCATTGCTGATGTACAGTTTATCCATTCTAGAGGAATATATTGATACTTTAAATTTTTGATTAAGAATAGTGCTTTTGAGATAGTTCTCAGACATATTTAATGGTGAACATGCGTTGTATGTTTCTGTTGAGGATACACTAAAGAGTAATTATTGGATACAGTATGCTTATGTTCAGCTTTAGCAAATACTACCATTTTCCCAAAGTAGTTGTTCAGACCTTATTCTGGTAGCCAGGTTATGTTAGATTCATAAAATAAATCTGGGTGTCTTCTCTTTGCAGCCCATGTAAGATGGAGGTTATGTATTCTCTGAATGTAGAATTCATTTATAAAATCATGAGAGGCTTTTTCTTTATTGTTGTAGTTTTTTTTTTTTTAAAGTCTTTGGGAGGGTTTTTATTGATTTTCTTTTCCTTTCTTTTTATTTATTTTTTTGTCTTTTTGAGACAAAAATGGGGTCTCACTGTGCAGTTCAGGCTGCACATGTTGATCTCACACTCATGATGATCCTCTTGCCTCAGCCTCCTAAGTGCTGGGATTACAGGCATGAGCCACTACACTGTTGATTTTCTTTACTGGTAATATCTCTCTAGGTGTTTAGTTTTTCCTTGAATTTGTATTGATAAATTCTGCATTTAGGCTATAGTTAATTTCATTTTAATTCTTCAAATTGATTCCTGTAGGGTTGTTCACAGCATTACTTTTTATTTTCTCGTCTTCTGTGTCTGCAGGTATGTCTTCTTCCATAGCACTGCTTATTTGCTCCTTCTCTTTCTTCTTGGTTAGTTTTCTCAGAGATTTTTTTGTTTCAAAAATCAGCTTGTAGTTTTGTTAGTGTTCTTAGTTGTATCTTTGCTTTTAAATCTATTTCTCTTTTTATTTCCCTTCTGTCTTGTTCTTTTTCTGTCATCTTCAGTCAACACAGCACCTTCATTTTTAGTCATAATTTTGAATAGATGTATTTCATGTATGTGTCTAAGTGGTGTACATTTCTTTTTTAAGTTTCACTGATGTGCATCCTTATGTAGCAGCTTCCTTATTCAGCTTTATTAAAATTTCTTTTCCTTTGATTAGTCAATTTAGAAAGTATTTTTAAAAATTATTTCTAATTTAGTTACACTGTTGTCAAAGAATATAAAATAGTAATTATTTAGTATTTGTTGTGAGTTTATTTGTGTCTGGGTTTTAAAAAGATAAATGTTATACGTGTCCTTGAAAATAATGTGTATTTGTTAGATACAGGGTGCTATATGTGTTCATTAAATCAAACTTTTTTATTTCATTCTTAGAACCTTTTTAAAATTTAAATATTTAATTTTATTAGTACATGTTTGCAGCTCCTGCAGCTTGTGCTCGTCTTGGGGAGTGGTTACGTGTACATGCCACGGCCTGTTTCTTTGTTGTTTTTTAAAAAAAAAAACAACTCTTTTTTTCCTCTTTTTTCCTCCTCCAATTCCCAAACCCATTTTTCAGTCTTGCTAATTTTAATTATCCGTTATTGAGTATGTTTTATTAATCTACTATATTATTTGTAAACTGCCCATTTCTTTTTGTAATCTTAGGCAAGGCTTAGAAGTGACATAGCTTTCGACCCACAGCTGATTTTGAGCTCTTCCTTCTAGGTCCACGCTCTCAATATCCTCCGTGCATTATTCAGAGACACGCGTCTGGGAGAGAATGTCATTCCTTTTGTTGCTGATGGAGCCAAGGCTGCAATTCTGGGCTTTACCTCACCAGTCTGGGCAGTGAGTGCTTTTGTCATTTATTTTCACTGACTTAATTATGCTTTTGAGTAGGTTCTAATAAACTGACCTTTCACAGAGTGATTAAAAAAATACATACTGCATTTTATCAAGGAGTTTCTCTAAGGGAGGAATAAATTCTGGGATCAAACTATGATTTAATACTTTATGGTTCCATTTTATCTTATTTGTTGATTTTTTTCTAGCCATAACTCTTCATTTTATTTTAGTGGTTGCTTTAGGGTTTATAGCATTTATCTTTAACTTATCACTATCTGCCGTCAAGTGATATTATACCATGCCATTTAAAGTTTAGGAACTTAATAACAGTGTATTTCTGTTTCTCAGCCACAGTCTTTGTATTGTCCTTATGCATGTTACTTTTATGTTGTTATAAACCCATGTTACATTGTTACCACTTTTGTTTAAACCATTATCTTTTTTTTTTTCCCCTGTGGTACTGGAGATTGAACCCAGGACCTTCACACTGAGCTACATTCCCAGCCATTTTATATTTTTTAATTTAGAGATGGGGTCTTGCTAAGTTCCCCAAGATAGGCTCAGCCTCCTAAGAGTTCTGGGATTATAGGCATGTGCCACCACTTCCATTTTAATGTTTTTTTCAACTTTTGATAGACTGTTTATAGTACTCATTTACTTGTTTTCTAACTTTCTCTTCATTTACTAGTTTAAAGTTTTCTTTAAAACTATCTATCTTTCTTTTTCATTTACTAGTTTAACCATTTTTAAATATATACAATTCAGGGTTATTAAGTATGCTCACAGTGTTCATTACCATTATGCATTTTCAGAACTTTCTTACCATCCCAAACAGATCTATACCTGTTAATCACTAACTCTTTGTCTTCCCTCCCTTTATATCTTGTAACCTCAGTTCTGCTCTCTGTCCCTACAAATTTCCTGATGTAATACGTAAGTGGAATCAAACGATATTTGTCCCTTTGTGTTTGGCTTGTATCACTCGCTCTAATATCTTTAAGGTTTATCTGTGTTGGCTGGATAATCTTCCATTATATATATGCAACACATTTTTAAAAATCTATTCATCTGTTGATGGACTTTCAGATTGTTTTCACTTGTTGGTTATTCTGAATAACATAGTGAAATATTGATGTACCAGTTGTCTGAGTTCCTGTTTCTGGTTCATTTCGGTATATGAGGTAATAATTCCATGTTTAACTTTTTGAGGAACTGCAAACTACTTTCCACAATAGCAGGACCATTGCATACTCACATCAACCATGTCTAATAGTTCCAGTTTTTTTACATCTACACGAATACCTATTACTTTGCATTTTTTAATGATAGCCCACCCTAATCTGATATGAAGTGGTATCCTATTCTGGTTTTGATTTGCATTTCCCTAATGATTGGTAATGTTGATCTGGAAGCAGAACGGGTCTTAGTATGTCACTGTGTCTTCCTTTTGGATGCTTTGTAATGCAGATTCTCTGTATTAGTACATTAAATGAGTACTATAAACAGTCTATCAAAAGTTGAAAAAAACATTAAAATGGAAGAAGTACTGGGTCACATTTTCATTTGTGATATGATCACCATCCACAAATGTTTTGATTTAGAACTCTAAAGATCATGGGAAGTACCTAGTACACCCACTGGATTTAAGAAAATAAACTTTCATGTAGTTTTTCCTGATTTCTAGGGGAAGCATCATAGTTTTTTCTGTTTTCCCATGTCATTGTGTCTTCTAGAAAAAGGAAAATAGTAAATGTTTTGTAGGCTCTTGAAATATGGCTTTAAAAAGTGCCTGGCAAAGGGAGAGGAGAAAAGAAGCAAGATTTTAAACTAGAATATTTACTCGAAAGTCAGTCTTTCCATCTAGTGAGTTGCACAAGTCATTTCATACCTACATGAGAAGCCTGTAATTGCGAGTCAATCTATTTCAGTGGCAGCCAAAAGCGTAGACTCCCAATATGAAAAGGAATCCTCAAGGTTGCCAGCTCTTGCTAGGAACTTTGGGCATCTTCCTGTAAGAGACACAGACCTCTGGAATTCTGTCTGGGAGTATTGCGTAACTGCTCTTGAGGACATACTGTTTACCTTTTACATTTACAGGAAACAGAGCAATACCTGTATTTTGTGTGGTCAGAGAGGTAGAAATGTGGCTTGATCATCATGAAAAGAAGAGATCATAACACTGATTGCCAGCTATATCAGTATTGTGTTCTTCAAGCTTGATTCCAGACAATACAAGAAATATTTTCTGTAAAAGGGCTTTACCAGAGTAAAACATGGTGATCCCCAGCCCCCGTGTCCGCCGGCACCTTCTTGCCAAAACTGAAAGTGTCAGAAATGAGTGCTTCATGTTTTGGAGTTGACATTTTTAAAATACAGAGTACATTTAGTATTGTAAGCATAGTAGGCATTAGACATACCTACTGTTTTGTAGATGATATGTTAAGCTTTAGAAATATAAGGATAAATAAGACAGTCATAATGGCTGTCAGTAATTACTGAGTATTTTCATGTACCTGGCATCATTTACATTACACTAATTTATCTCAGTGGTGCTAATGTATGCAATATTCATCAGTAAAGAACAAGGCTCAGGCCAGGGATATAGCTCAGTGGCACAAGCGCCTGCCTGGCAAGCATAAGGTCCTGAGTTCAGTCCCCGGTACAAAAAAAAATGATAAAAACAATGCTCTCAAAGAGGTGAAATTCCTTTGTCTGAGGACAAAAAACTACTGACTCTAAAAATTGTGCTCTTGTAGAGGAGAGTTTTGGTTGTTACAGGATTATGAAGGAGGTGTATTTCAGCTAACTTGGAAGGTGTCTTAGTTTTCTCATTGCTGAGACAAAATATCGAACACCCAAAGTTAGAGAAAGAAAGGTTTCACTTCATAGTTGGCTGACTCCAAGGCAGGGTGGCATCACAGAAGAAGAACAGTTTATGGTGGGCAGAAGGCAGCAAAGTAGTAAAGAAGCAGCAGCAAGTGATAAACAACATCACAGCATGTCACACCCTAGATCCAGCCACTGAAGAGCCCTACCTATGACCACATGAGGCTTTTGGGAGCGTCCAGGTACAAGCCATAACAAGGTTTTTGCCTGTTTCCCCTTTTTTTGTTGTTTTGTTTTTGAGAGAGGGTCTTGCTATGCAGTTCAGGCTGGCCTTGAACTTACTATATAGGCAAAACAAGGCCAAAACAAATCAAAAGATATCCTGTGTTCACTACTGGAAGAACTTAAATTATTAAGATAGCAATATTCCCCAAATTGATCTATAAATTCAGTACATTCTCTGTTAAAATCTCATCTGGCTTTTTGGGGCAGAAGTTGACATGCTGGTTGTAAAATGTATAAGAAAATGCAAGGGAACCATAATAGGCAAAGCAATTTTGAAAAAGAAGAATAAAGAGGATTCACAAGTTTTAATTTTCAAAATTATGAAAAAGCCATAATAAAAGATTGTGATATTAGAAGAAGGATAGATGTATAAATCAGTAGAATAGGATTGATTGTCCAACTTCCACATTTAATAAGCAAGAATGACTTCAGTGGAGAAGGAGTAATACCACTAGGACAACTAGACATCTGCATGTAAAAGAATGAAATTAGTTCCTATCTCATACCATGTTGAAATAACTAAAAATGGATTAAAAACCTGTGTAAAAGTTATAAAACGTTTAGAAGAAAAATTAAAGGTGAAAATTTTGAAACTTGAAATAGGTAATAGTTTCTTAGATATGACATGTAAAGTACAAACAACAAAAGAAATTAGGTAAATTAAATTTAATCGAAATAAAAATGGCGTTTCAAAGGGTACCATCAAGAAATGAAAAGACAACTCCCAGAATGGGACACAAGGTTTGCAAATAATATATCTAATTAGAGTCTAGTATCCAGAACATATAAAGAATTCTTAGAATTCAATAACAAGATAATTCAATTAAAAATTGACAGTGAATTTGAATACATTTCTCCAAAGACAGTGCTACATTAGAGGATGCTTAAGATCATTTGTCACTAGAGAAATGCTAATCAGTACCATAATACTTAATAAAAGAAAAAATGATGGACATTCCTAAGTATTATGGCGGATGTGGAGAAATTTGGAAATTGGTGGAATTGGAACCCTCATAAATTGCTTGTGAGAATATAAAATGGTATCGCCACTTAGCATTCCTCAAAAGGTTAAACAGAGTTACTATATGATTGCACCTGCCACTTCTAGGTATAACCCAAGAGAAATAAACGTGTCTACGCAATCAAAAAGTGAAGACAAGACCATTGCCCATCAAATGCTGAACAGACCTTAAAAATGTGGAATATCTGTACAATGGGATATTAGCCAGCCATGAAAAGGAATAGTATGCTCTCTGTGACACCGTGGGTGAACCTGAGGACACTGTGTTAAGTGAAAGAAGCCTGGCATGAAAGACTACCTAGCATGTAGTCCCATGCGTAGTGTCTGAAATAGGCAAATTTATAGAGAAAAAAGGTAGATTAGTATTTCCCATTTGTTTGAGGATAAGGAATGATGAGTAATGCCTGTGGGTTTCATTTTGGGGTAATGAAACATTGTTGAAGTATTTAGTAGTAATAATTTCTCGCTTTGGGAATATAGTAAAGACAGCTGATTAAAATACTTTATAAAAATGCTAAGTTCTATGGTATATGAATTTTACCTCAATATAATAAAAAGTAATTTTTAAAATGAAAATAAAATGCAATCATTTGGTCCCTTTGGTGGTTGCTATGCTATGAACTGAAAATTAGTAAATATTTGGAAATAATTCTATACTGACTAAGTTAATGGGGAAATCAAATAGCTGATGAGAGAAAGCTCTTTTAAAAATTTTTTTTCCCTGGGACTGCAAGTAAGTAAGGAGAATGCCTGATAGAATATCACCATTTTGGTACACCTATGGAGATAGGTAATGATCATCCGTGGCTATTATTAAGGGAACTTCGGGCTGGGGATTTAGTTCAGCGGCACAGCATCTGCCTGGCATGCGCAACCTCGTGAGTTTGATTCCCGGTACAGGAAAAAAAAAAAGGGAACTTTACAGTGGGTATCTGAGTCTGTTCTGATTGCTTTAACAAAATACCACAAACTCTGACTTATAAGCAACAGAAATTTATTTCTCACATTGTGGAGGCTAGAAAATCTGAGATTAAGGTCCTGGCAGATTGATTGTCTGCTGAGGGTTGTGTTTTGGTTCAGGGAGGGTCTCTTAGTCATCCTCGTGTGGCAGAAGGGGCAAAGCGTGTCTCTCTAGCATCTTTTCTTTGGGGACTAATATCCCTATGAGGGTAGAACTGTCATTATCTAACTGAGTCTTAAATTTTCCTCACCTCCTAATACCATCACCTTGGGGGTTAGGAAGTCGGGGTACACAAGCATTCAGCCCATATTACTGAGACATTATGTGCCTCCTACCTTCAGCCTACTGACTCAAGCAAATGTTTATTTCTGGAGGTGCCTGTTCACTTTGTGAAATAAGTCTCTACAGTTTTGTTACTCCTGGTTTAACTTTGCCACCTTTGTCACAAAGATTGGTTTAGGGCAAGATGGAATTTGTGATTTTGTTTCTTTCTTTTCTCTTCATTTCACCCCTCTGTATCCCTCCCTCCTTTCTTTCTGTTGTTTCAGCCGGTAGGAGCTCTAACTGAGGACCTTTGCATGCTGCTTAAGTGCTCTACTACTGAGCGATAGCCCCAAACCCTCGTTTTGTGTTTGTTGTTGTGACATCGGAGAGGAAACAAGGTCTTTGCCAAGTCAACTTAGATCTATGAGCATGAGAACTATTTGAGTGGACTGGGTAAGAGGTAATCCAGGCCTGAGCTGGGGCAGAGGCAATACTGATGAAGTAGCAGATGGACTGCTTTTTTGTTTAGGGGCAGCAGGGAAGATGCATAGTAAGGACTCCATCAGGGTTTGTTGACGCTGAATGAATGCAAGTAGATCTTCTGACTTTAGAGTTTCGTTGCAGTTTTGGTATGAACTGTGCTGGTGTATCTATAAAGTCCACTTCCAGGGTTACCAGGGATGAACTGAAGCAGTTTGGGGCTTCCAGAGGAGGTTATAAGCTGGTGGCCAATAGGACAAATGTCCATGGCTGTGTTTTGTTTGGCCTCTATGGTGGTTTTTCCTTCCTTTTCTTTAATTTGTTGCCAACATTTCAAAATAGTGACATTTCACATAAAATCAGGCTTTCTGGCTTCTCTAGAAAAAACAGATCGGGCAACACTGGGTTTATATTCCCTAGCGGCAGCGAGTCAGCTGAAGCTGAACAGCGATTGCATTAGACACAGTTCACTGTTGCCTGTGTTGCTCACTGGTCCTTCTGGGCATTGGAATTTGCAGTCTTTACTGCAGTGGTTTTAGGAAACTGTTTTCTAAATCCTGCTTTATTATTTTTAATGAGCTTTCTGTTTATATTGCTACTTAACATACCGTATGATAATGACATCCACCTAATGAGAATATGACCTCTATGGTGACTGTGTTTTCTATTTCTGGATGTGGTACTGGTAATAGTGCCTTGCATACTGTAGGAAAGGCAGTGCAGGATTACACAACTCTGTTCTGATTTGGCAGAGTAATTCTAGAGTCTTGGCACAGTACTTTGGAAAAGATGTGTTCTGTTAGTATCTTGGAGAAGTGGTTCAGGTTCATTAATTAAAATTCTTACCTCTTAGTTTTATTATTTATTTCAAACAATTTGAAGGTCAAGATTTCTTGAGTAGGTTACTGGCATTGTGAGGTTAATAAATAACATTTTGCGTATTTATCACTCTTGGTTTTATTAATTACACGGTTTCTTTGACATGAAGTCCTACAAGTATTTTCTCATAGGTAGATAATCACAGAAAGAAAATACAGAGAGTTTAGGTCTCTCCTAGAATATTCATTGTCAGGAAGGCTATGGAAATATAGTTTTGTTTTTTTCTTTAAAACAAATGGTATTTGATGATACAAGTACAAAGACACCATGAAAACGGTTGTTGGTAATAGCAGAAGTAGGGAAACAAAGAGCTTGATTTAAGAGGAAGTCATTGAGTCAGTTTCTGTAAAGTTTCTTTTGAAATTTGTCCTATGAGCATAAATTATATTCTCTTCAGCCCCATACTAGCGAAGGCTAATGGTTTTGAGTGTCTACTTAGATCATTATAAATGTTGGTTTCATGCCATAAATGTTTCTTAATCCTTTATTGTGTTTATTTTTACATTAGGTGCGAAATTCATCCACTCTTCTCTTTAGTTCCTTGATCACAAGGATATTTGGAGTTAAACGGGGAAAGGATGAACATTCGAAAACAAATAGGTAAGCTGCATCTAATGTTAACTTGACTTTTTTTTTTTTTTTTGGTTTTTTGGTTTTTCTCCGGTACCGGGAACCGAACTCACGACCTTGCGCTTGCCAGGCAGGCGCTTTGCTGCTGAGCTAAATCCCCAGCCCCTTAACTTGACTTTTTACGCAGTACTATCCTGGCCAAAACTATTTCAATTTGTTGAAATTTTGCTTACTTTTATGGATTCACCTGCAGTATAAAACTATAAAAATACTATGCTAAGTTAGCCTATGCTGCTAAATTCTAAACCCTTGGACAAAAATATCAATTGTTTGATAAGTGAACCTTTCAAGGCAGCAAAAATATAGTAAGGGCTAACATCTAGGCTTGTTTCTCAGTGCATTCACTGAAATTTCTTTTCTTTGTATCTTCTTGAAGTATTTCTGAAATGTCCTAAATTTTTCTTGGTGTGTTATTTTCTTCCGGTACCAGGAATCGAACTCACGACCTTACGCTTGCCAGGCAGGCGCTGTGCTGCTAAGCTAAGTCCCCAGCCCCTTCCTGATGTGTTACTAAGTACTGTCTTCTACATTATCTTTAGTTGCACAAGTGGAAGTTTCGATACGTGTGAAACTCATCAGAACATGTCCTAGACTACCTTTGCATGCATTATAGTCTCAAGTATAATGAATGAATGGGAGCTCTTTGAGATATTGATAATATGAAATAAATAATGAAATAATATTGATAATATGAAATAAACAATGCTTTTTACATTTTGGTCTTTAATTTACTCTCTATTTTTTTCTTAGTGTCTGAAAGGGAGCCTATGGAACTATTTTATTATGGATGATTTTGGAGGGGAGATGATTTTTTGATATACTACACAAGTTAGTTTTTCAAGAAGATAACATTTGAATAGTTCTTCAAGCATTTGAGAGGACTTAATGGTAGTGTAGCTGGCTTGCAGTTGTTAACACTAGATGTCACTATCGCTGCATGTTTAATTACTTCCTTAACTTCATTTAGGGCTCAGTTTCGTCCAGTAGTCTCCTCCTGAGGACTTCAGTTCCTCTCCTGTCTGAAAAGTTTACCGTGCTTAAAATTTAGGTTTTAAGTTGTTATTTGTTAAAATATATTTTATTGTAATGAAACCAGGTCTTAAAAATTAAAGAATATCTTGAAATAATTTTGTGATGTGATGGTGGTAATTCTAGTAAAACCTACTGTAGTGGTTCAGAAGTGTCGTTTAAACTGCTACCTATCACCCTCAAAATTCACCAGATATTAAGAAGGAAGGTAACTGGCTAAAAGTGTGAATCCATAAACATATTCAGAAAATACACATTTTTAAAAATTGAATTTGTTTTAAAAGAAATCACTACTCTTTTGGAAGAATGACCATAATTTTTACTTTTTAGCCTGTTCCTAAATTATTAGTATTTTTTCTTTTGGCTTTGTCTACTTTGTTAATCTATAATGTGCTGAGGTTTGAAACAGGCCTTATAAGGCCATGGTAAATAGTGATATAAATAAAACATATTGGGTTATCAGGCAGGTAAAGTGGATGTTTAGAACTGAGGTTCAGAATGAAAGAGTGCTTTTCCCTTTAGTTTTTATGAAGTGATTCTTGTATGTGTATTTAAATTTTACTATGCACAGAAGAAAAATTATCAGATTTATTTCATTTAGGTTGCAACTGAAGGGTGGAAGAATAGGGCAGTGATACCACACAGTTTTCATTATTTTTCTTTACCAAAGTCACATAGATGGGAACCTCCATTATAAATCCTATTCCTTTTGGATAGGAAAACTTACAAAATTAGAACTTTCCTAGAGAGAAGAAAGTGGAATATTTGTATAATTGCTTTGAATAAAGTTGAAAAGTGAAATGAAGGAATTAGAACGTTATTTTGCTAAAATGTGATGAACATTCTTGGTAAGACCCTTTATCTGAAGACTGTTATGAACCTACACAGGCTTCATTCACCATTTAATCCTTCTGCCGCATGGCACTCCTTGCCCTGTTCGCTCTTTAAGATTGTTAGTGTTTTAAATGTGTAATTGTTTATGATGTTCCTTCTACTTTTGTAGTTTGTTTAATTATGTCACTATTTGTTGAAATGTTTATATGACTGTTCCTTACAAGGGCAGGACCTTTTCCATCCATCCTTTATATGTATAGTGGACATTTTAAGAATGCTAGTAATAATGTCTTGTATGTTGGTTACTTAACTGTTGAATAACACTTCAAAACCATTTACTGTTGCTTTCACAACCACAGATTGTTCTGCACATAATCTTGCAAACTTGTATTCTTGCTCAGAGAAGAACTGGACATAAAAAGAACATCTGCCTTTTCCATCTAGTTGTGAAAAAAAAATGTCTATCTTGGAGTAAACAAACTTGGTTTCTAGGCATTTTGTTGCCGCTGGAGATGACCTTAATAGACTCCCTTGTTCGCTGTGCACTTCACTTTCTCCATCTGCATACCAGGAATAAGAAGATCGAGGGTTCTCCCTCATGGGATTACTGTGAGCATAAAACAAACCTTTAGAGTTTATTTTTTTAAAAATATTGGAAGTCCCAACCAATTAGAGATATGATCTGTTATTTCTCTCTGTTACTGCTTCTGTTATTCTACTCACCCCATTGTGTTGCTGTGAGTGCTTGTTTGAGGACAGCTTCAGGGTTAGCATCCTGTCAGTCTTTGTGTACCTGGTGGCTCATGGTGTCAGCTATATAGGCGTCATAAAAAATACTTCAGGCTGTGTTGTTGTAGAGGAGACATAAGAAATCTTTTTTATTCCTGCCTTTGTTCCTCTAGGCATGATAATCAACTGAGACACATAAATTGAGTTGCTCCTCTGGAAAATAAGAGGTTTAGATTAGCCCCGAGTTCTCTTTCCTTTATAGTGTTAAGCTCTGGCTTTATATAAGCTCTGGCTTTTATATTGATACAGTTGCATGTTTGGTGATGGGCTATATGACTGTGCCTAGAACAGTACTTGCCATGGGGCAAGGACAAGCAGTTCCCATTTTTTATATAAAGAAAGGTCTTGCCTCCCCTTTTGGAAGTGTGTGGCATGTACTTGCAGTGATGGCTCTTTTGAGCTCTTTGGTCTTACTCTAGGTATGTTCTTTGGACTGTGAGTTTTACTTGCACGTTTTGAATATTATTACATTTTAATTTTCTAAAACTCTTTCTTTGCTTTCTTGCCACTTAACTGACTGGGCCTAACAGAATGAATAATTTATCCTATATAAAATCAAGACCCGCACAGCTCTGCAATGTGGAGAATGAGCTGCACTTTCGAAAGCAGCTTCCATCTGCATGTGAGGGGCTCATTCTCATCACTCCTCATTTCCTTACAGGGCAGGGTCTGAACCAGGGTGGACTTCATTCTAGATCTTTCCCTTTAGCCTGGATTAACCTCAGCTAAACTAGTCCCAGCTCAGTGGCGAATGTCAAAGTAGAGTCCTCTGAAAAGCTTTATTTTAAACCTCTTGGAGTGACTGTTCTGCCAAAACTTCATACAGGTGCCCAGCATACAGAGTCACAGTGTTACAAAAGAACTTTTACACTTTCCTCACCGTGAGTGATAGGAAATTTGGAACTTACTCAAGGTGCTTACAATTCAACTGAGGAGACAAAAATTGTTACCTGGGAGTCAGATAAAATTGAAGACACCATGTAATAATCTCCTGCATAATGCGATGTGGGTAGTGGGTGCCATAAAAATTCATAAATGGGAGAATTTTGAAGCAAGTAGAGTTACTTAACAGACTTTTAGGATGAATATACTTGGGATACATGGAAACAAATGGATTAAAAAGGGAAATAATTAAAAATCTTATTTATTGTATTGCTAGATGTGATCTCTACTCTGTCTTATAAAAAGGATTCATATTCAAGTTAATAGATTTGGGTGGTGTTTAGTACCGTTCCAGAAGAAAATTATTTGCAAAAGTATCACTAAGTCCAAGAAATTTTTTTTCGGTGCCTGTGTTAGATGTTAAATTTATTCTGTTTTTCTGGGTGTCAGTGACAGAATTATTTTCCTTGTTTCTCTGAACATCTTAGTGGTGTAGATCTGGAGGGACCCTCCGAGGGATGTCTGGTCTCGTCCAGCATCCTGCTTATAGGCAGATTCGGGAGCAATTTCCAGACAGATTGGCTTCTCTCCTATTCTTTGTGTTTTCTAGGAAAAGAGATTCCACAAGTTTCTGTGGTTACCCACTCCATTGTTTAGAAAAGAATTGGATTCTCAAAACTAAAATTGAGAGCTATGGGGCAACTGGGTTTTTATGTTTTACAGAATGTAATTATTAGAATTCAGAATAGGTTGCTTTGAACTACGTGGTATCTTCTAGCAAGGGCCTATTTGTCCAAACTAAAAATCAGAATTTTCTTTGATCGTGGCCAAGAAAACGTAACATCCTTTGACCTCAGAAATTCTCATTTTCTCCCCTGAGTAAGCATTTTTTATTTTATTTCTTTATCCTGGGACAGCCCTCTGCTAGGTCCTCAGATAAATCAGAAATACCCTGTGCTCTAAGGTAACTGACTGTCCATGAACAAGATGACAGTAACCTGTTTTTGGAGTCTCTTTGTCCAAGCTGAGTTGAAAATTCTGAAGGCAGGTGGCGTTTCTTCAGTGCTGACTGCCTATCTGCTCTCGGCACATGCCAGGCCTTTTTCAGGTGTCTAATTTAGCCTTGATCTCAGCACCGTGAGTGGATAATGTCATTCTCACCTCCCGGTGGAGTAAACCCAGGGTAGTGACATCTAGTTACTTGCCTACTGTCATTAGCCAGAAAGTGACAGGACTAGAACATGAGAATTGCATTCCATCTACAGAGTAGTATTAATTTGCCCACCAACATGCAGAGTTCCTCATGAACAGTGAGTCCATTTTTTTACAGTCTGGCTTTAGGTTATGCCTTGTCAGTCCATGGGAAGTGATCCACTTTACCTGAGATATGAATATGGACCACAATTTCACATTTCCCACGTGGTAGGTTGATTTTCATGGGAAAAGTGAGAGGCTGCCAGAGGAGAGGCTTGCTTTGAAGTAACTAGAAGACTCTTGCTATGGATGGTAGAAGATGATATGGACGATAGGCTCTTTGGCCTATGAATATTCTTTTTCTCAGCAAGCCAGTTGATGTTTCCGTGCAGACACAGATGAGGGAAGAGTAGGCCTGAAGGTTTCTCAGGTCACTGTAAACCAGAAAGTTGGAAATTTAGTGTTCTGACTGGTAAGTAGGGAATGGAGTAAACTGACCCAATAGGGTATTGTTATTTAATTTTGTTGTTGTTTTTTTTTTTTAATCTTTTTGAGACAGGGTTTTTCTGTGCAGTTCAGGCTGGCTTGAACTCACTTTGTAGTCCAAGATGGCCTCGAAATCATCTTTCTCAGCCTCCTGAGTACTGGGATTACAGGGTGTGTGGCCACACCCAGCATAGTATTGTTATTGCTAGCAAGAAATTTACAGGTTGTTTTACAGTCATTTCTGCAAAACTTTTGTATTTGATACTAGTTTGATGCTACAGGGAGAGGGTTTGGGGGCTTACAGAAACTCTTACCTGTGAATGATTTCTTTTAGACTTAACGTAGTATTTTTCACAATCTCTACTTACATTTTTCATTCAGATCTTTAATTAAAACATTAATAATAACATTGATTATTACTTATTTTTATCGTTGAGAGAAAGTAAAAAAATTATCCATTCCTATTCTCATTCCACAGATGTGAAAATTGAGGTATAAAAATGTTAAGTAATTTGCTTAAGATCATAAAGCTAGTACTGGCACTATAATTTAATGTTTATTTTTTGCTCACAGTAAGCTAGTCTAGAACATTTTTAAAGTTAACTGATTTCTTAAAAATGAAGTTTTTATTAGTAACCGTACTACCGGTTGGATCCAAATGATTTTAATGTAGAATATGAGGCTTGTTCTCCCAAAGAAGCACTTGTCATAGGATTTTAAATATTAGTGATTTGAAATTAAGAACCCAAAGTGTTGACATGGTCTGGAGGTATCATTCATGTATTTTTCACAGATACTTGTCACACATTTAATGAGTAGATAAATGAATATTTTTGGAGACTAAGAAGTAAAGTATAAGTCTTGGAAGAAGCCCTTGTTGAAAAGTTCTTAAAATCAGAATTAAACCTATAGCTGCACTTTGGCCTACTGAAGAGTGTCATATTTTAAGTTTTTGTTTATTGTTAGGTTCTTGGATTTTAGATAGGAAAACCACAAGTAAAAAGTTTAACCTAAAAGAAATTCTTAAAAAGAATATGTTCATGAATTTGAGTTGGGAATTAGTCATTGTGTTCTTAAATATTGACTCTTGCATGGACCAAGTAATCTTTGTTTCTAACTAGTGCTTCAGGCCATTTCCTTCTCTAATAACTAAGGCATTGTTGCTCTCGTTTGAGCACGTTCTATGGAATTTTGGCAATGCATGCATCCTCCTTCTGCATCTTAGTAAAAGCATGAGTAAATATTTTTTTCTCAACTTTGGTATTTTTGCAGCTTACATTTTATATGAGCCAGACTAATATAATGTAATACCAGGATTACATAATTTAAGACGTCAGATTTGCTCATAAGCAGTATTTGTTATCCATTCACTACCTGTAGAGAAATATTCCAGAGCTATTTTCCAAACGAAAAAATAGAACCAAAGAGGTTAAAGCTGAAAGGAATAGTTCCTTTAGAACTTGGATAATATTTCTTTCTTATTCAAAACTTAATCTTTGTAACGACTAGTTTTAGTGATGTATATAGCTTTGAAATTACAGGAATTTTCAACTATAGTTATACACTGAACTTTCTTTATAAAATATAATCAATACATTTTATCATTGAATGCTTATTAGGTACCACTAGCACATACCAAAATAGTTTTTTGACATAGTGTGGATTTCAAAGAGTTTGTTGTTTATTGAGAGATAAGACTAACTTGTGAGCTATTTTAGGAACTATGATTAGCAAACTTTGCGGTACTGTCAGGATAGAGGGTCAGAGGAGGAGGAGGCCAAGCCCCAGGCAGCAGTACAGGTTAATCTGGAATTGAAAGAAAAGGCAGGATTTGCATAGTGATAGAACAGGGTATTGCCTGTAGGTTTGTATGGCACAAAGGTGGCGGTTGGGACACATGTTGCGTGTGTCTGGGGAAGTTAGATAATAAACCAGACCAGGACAGAGAGGACATGATAGTGTTCATTCATTCCCAGAGCATGGGTCCATGGATCATCACCTGCTCTGTATAGGCACTGCACTAGGTTCTGGGTGCCTATCAGTGAGTACAATAGACATGCCAAAGAAACTAGTTTGATTTTTTTTTTTTTTTAACTTTGGGAATAGTTTAGAAGTTTCTGTATCTATGTATTTTTTGTCTATGTTAAAATCTTTGTTTTAAGAATCATTTGAGGAGTGATCCCATTCTGTCACTGACTAGCAGACTAGTGCAAAGCCCTGGAAGAGAATTGCTTGTGAATAACCAGGTGTGATCATTGTAGCATTTATTCTTTCTGTCACTTCTAAACTGTGTACTGACTGTGCTAAGAGGAGTATGTCCCACCTTTTAAGAAATACTGTTTCCTCTGAGAAATTAAAACATATTTACTAAAAAGTTGATTTTTGTGTTTTAGTAAATAGAAGTGTGAGAGTAAATAAAAGTTTCTTCATGGCATTATCTCTTAAAACAGTGATGGCAAATCTTTTAGAGACAAATGCCCAAACTGCAACCCAAAACCCATTTATTTATCACAAGTTGCCAACACGGCAATTAAACGTGAATACTGAGGTTTTAGTTTAGAAAAACAACTCATATTAATATGTTTGTCTTAAGAGAAAAATACAAGTATACCATAGGTTCATCACTGCTGTCTTAGAGCATTTAATATGCTATAATGTGTCTTGTGAATCTTCATGAGTGGGATATAGCATGCAGTACTTCCCTAAATTACTTGACCCTTGGTCTCTCTTTCTCTCAAAGAACATCTATGCTCCATCAAACATAGTTTGATATGGGCAGACTGTTTAGGGCAAGTGACAGTCATGTTTCTGATTATTAGGAGTATCACCAGATAAAGGAAAGAAGATGTTCTTTTCTGATTATCTTGGTAGCAACAGAAAGACTTAGTTTTAGATGCAGTTAAATACATTATATTATCCTAATTTGTCAGATAAAAATTTGAAAGCATCCTATATGTAGTAGGTAGTTAATACATGTGAATCTATACGTTTCATAATTATAGACTTTTAAAAATCCTATTATAATTAAAATGTCCCTTTGGGAGAATAAACTTCATATTCTATAGTAGTCTAGAGTTTTATCAGAAGGAATACTTTCCATTTTCCCAAAACCTTGATTTTTTATATGGGGAAATAATGCCCATAGCAGTTGAAGAACTGATCAACAAGCTGAGTATGTAATTTGTCAGACTTGCGATATATCTGTCTGTGTGTTTTTGTGGATGTGGGGAGGGTGCGGGCAGAGAGGGAGTAGGGAACAGAGTATAGTGTGCCCCTGACTTACAAGCATCTGAGTTACAGACTTCCACAGATGTACAGTATAAGATTCACAAGTGTATTGTATAAGACCCACTTTGTTGGATTATGAGCAAATCTGACTTACAAATGTTCTCCCAGAACAGAACTTGTTTATAAGTTGGGGACTTACTATAGTAACCAACTTTGAAATATAGAAGGCAAGCTTTGGGTCGCCTAGGAAGACTGAGTTCTTTGGACTGTTTGTATTGGTAATAAGTTAAGCAGTATACTCTGTTGTTATTACCCCTCATCTCCCAAATAACTCCACTTACTAAAATATAAATACAAGCATGAAATGACTCAGACTTATGGCACTTACAATACTTCTGGGTGCCAGTAGTAGAAAACCCAAAATTTTCCCCGTTTCTATGATGCCATCTCAGATGTGGTGGTACAGACCCAGGAAAGCTTTCTTGATGGCTGCAGGATGCTATAGTTATCACATCCAGAGGTTGCAGAATCTATGTACAATATCCTAGTGGCCTGCTGCATACCCCCTCTCATTTATTTGTTTATTCATGCATTTTGAGACAGGGTCTCACTTTACAGTTCAGACTGGTCTGTGGGTGTGCCACCACACCTAGCTCTTTATATCTTTTTAAAAGCAGTAGCTCCTCTTCCTGTGTATGTTCTTGTATCCGGACCTCCACACCCTACGGCCTTTTCTTCACCATATCTTGTTGCCCAAAGTTAACGTCTCAGCACGCCCCAACTTAGTCCTGGTGAAAGAAGTGTATCTACCGTAATTAGCTTAGACTACTCAGGGTTCTCCATCTATGTCTGGGGTTGGTGCCAGCCCTCTCTGAAACATATGACTGTTTTGAAAAGGGTATATTTCCAACCAAAGACAAGGTTGTTGAAAGGAGGGCTGGGATGGGGAAATAAATGCTGATTAGGCATTAATAGTACCAGCTGCTGTGTTCTAGGCTATCGCAGAAGCTTTGAAAATATTTTCATTAGGAATGTTGACTTAAATATAGGAAGATAATATATGCAGTGTTTTAGCCTAATAGAATAATTTTTCCTTTATTTGTATATTTCCTACATAAAATTGTAACACAACAGGAAGCTGTACAAGTGTCTGGGTATATTGTTCTGTATAATTTATTTTTTTCTTTTTAAAAATTTTTTGTGTTTTTTGAGGCAGAGTCTCACTGTGTAGTTCAGACTGACCTTGAATTTATGTAGTCGAGGCTGCCCTCGAACTCAGCAGTCCTCCTAACATAGCCTCCCAAGTGCTGGGATTACAGGCTTGTTCCACCACGCCTGGCCTGTATAACTTACTCTTATATGCAGCTTGCCTTTTAAAATTTTCACTCAGTGTCTTAGTCCATTTTGTGTTATTATAACAATACCTAATGCTAGGTAATAAATAAAGAATTCTGGTGGCTGGGGGTAACAGAATGCTGGTGTGCTGGAGAGGGCCCCTTGGCTCATCACAGTACAGTGGACAAGCAGAAATGGAACTGACTGTGTGTATGTAGCAAGGCCAAGTACATGATGGGGCCCTCCCTTAAAACAGCTCACTCTGTCCAGAACTCATTCAGTTCCCTGAGACCTGACCCCAAGACAACTTTAATCCATTCATGAAGGTTTAACCTTCTTAGTCTAATTATGTTTCATCAGACCATTCCCCTTAAAAGTTCTGCTACCTCAATGCTGTGACATCGAAGTCCAAGCCTCCAGAATGTGGATCCTTGTGGGACAAACCATAGTACCCAGGAACAAAGTATATATTTTCGCACATGAATATAATTTTGCATAGCATTGAAATACAGATTCTGGATACAATCTAATGAAAGCCTGAAAATGGTATTCTGCAATATGAAACATCTCACTGGTTTATAATTTCTTGAAAACTAACAAAAGTTAACTTGTTTTTTTCATTACAACTTTGATTCACTTTGGAATTTGACCCATATATTGTAACATTGATTTTCCTATCATAAAGTCAAATGATAAGAAGTCAAATGATCTTTCTAAATTTATTGGGATTTGTACTTAATTATTTTTATTTCTGAGTAAAAAATTCCTATTCTATTTAAATTTTTTTTTTTCCTATTTAAATTGAATGCGATATTTTGATGTGACTATTTTGGCCTCTGAACTCAAATTAGGCCAGTTGTCTTGAATAATCTCTTTCTCTGTCTGCCAAGTTTTTCTTTGTCCTTTTTGGCCTCTAAACTTGGTTTTGTTCTGTACAGACTCCTTTGTAGAACTGGAACATGAGGTTGTCTAGGTCAGGGCAAGCCAGCTGGGTTGGATAGAACGTGGGGTCAGAGGTAGCTTCATTTGACAAGGATTGGTAAGTCTGATCCAGTTTACTAAGTCTTAGAGTGCTAGAATTTTCCACTCTGTAAGCACAATTCTAAGACATCTTTGTCTTTTTCTGGCTCTTAGAATATCTTGGTCTTTGTTGTGTTTATTTGTATAATCACTCAAGTTCTGATCAATTGGTTTAGTATATGTAGTGGCCATTTATGTACTTCCACCTTTATTCGCTTGATCACATCTTTTACTTCCGGGTCAAAGCCCTCCTACGCCAGTGGTTCCATATCTATGGAATTGGTGTCCATTTTAGGTAAGTCACCATTTTTATTTCTCATTTTCTCTCAGCAGATATACTTACTAGGTTAAAGGCTCTGAGCACTGAGGGAAATATAGACATGTGTAAAACAGGATCTAAATGTTTGAAGAGTAGTGGAGGAGGAGAGGTAAGTCTTGGCCATAGCTATAGAGTAAACTGTACAAGAAGGTGGAAGCTGTTAGGACTCTGTGCTTTGGGTTCCTTCACAGGAAGAGCCTACACACCCTGCTGCTCTGCTCACCTTGTCTTGGCTTGCCTCTGGTGCATCTGTGCTGCTCCAGCTGAGCTCGCTTGCATACTCTTTAAACCCCTTCCTCTCTCCATCTCTTTGAATTCTTCTATTAAGGTGAGAAAAAAATCTCACCTGGGTAGGGAGCAGCTGAAGCTGGAAATACTTTGGTCCTGAGAAAAAAATTTGCCTGAGGCAATTCCAGTCATTAGTCACTAGGCAACCCTGTGTCTTACGGTACTAACTTTTTCAAAAGTATAAGTGAACGCCACTACTGTTGTTGTTCAGTTCTTCTTTTCCCATCTGGAAAGAGGGCTCCACCTGACCTGAGCTTTCGTCTCTTGTCTTATTTTCTAAATCCCCTCGCTGTTTTTTCCCAGGACCATCAAGAACTGCACAGGTCTTGGCACTCCTGACCACTTCTTTATCTTGCTGCTTCAGATATGATAAACACGGAGCAGGATTGGTGTTACACCACCCCTACATGTATTTAGGAATGAAATGATACGTACTAATATCGCAGTGTTGCTGACCTCTAAGAGGGGCAGGTACCCAGTTTGCTCCAGAAACCCAGCACAGGTCGTCATCTTTATCAAGCTTTAATTAAGCCAACTTTTAGTAGAACTTCAACATTTCATCAAGTAAAAGAAGTTGTTTCATCGGTGTTCTCTTATTTCGGGTACTTACCAATATTGTAATAGCCTAGATTTCAATTTTAAACATAGAAATACAGTGTTTCAATGCTGAAGTAAATAATTTGTATAGGCTACCTACAATGCCACCTTTTATAACATTAATGTCTTTGGAAAAATGTATTTCACATGCTATATGATGGCCTTTCCATATATGGAAATTCTTAAACACTTGATTGGTTTTATCCATCCTGTTTTCAGTTCTGGCTATCTTCAAAATGGTGCCCTTGTTCCAAACTGGTTGGTTTAGCTATGAAAATTGAGTTCTGTTTAATCCGTGGCATTTTCTGGGTGATTTGTTTCTCTTGTATCAAGATTCCTGCCCCTAACCTCAATAAATTTATGATTTTTCAGGCCTTGTATGTAGTAGTTCAATCTTTATAAAAAATTTTGAATCACAGCAAAGGAATCATGTTTGCTAGTTTATTTTAGTCTAGAATGACTTTGTACTCTGGTCTGATATTTATCATTCAATAAGTGTTGAACATTAAGTGTGTACTGAACTTGATGGTAGGCACCAAGAGAGATACAAGAATAGCTTATTCTTAGGAAACATCTGGTGTGCTTGTGATGGAACAAAGAAGCAAAACCAAAACCATCAGGCAAAAAATGATAAAGGAAGAGAGAAGTCTGACTGTGAAGTGACAGCAGTGATAAGAAAGAACAGGGAAGGATCACCAGTTAAGAATTCAGTGTCAGGGGCTGGGGATTTAGCTCAGTGGCAAAAGCGCCTGCCTGGCAAGCGCAAGGTCGTGAGTTCGGTTCCTGGTACCGGAGAAAAACCAAAAAAAAAAAAAAAAAAAAAAACAGAATTCAGTGTCATACTATTTTTCTAATATAACCCGAGAGGCAAGTGTCCGATGATTCTTACGTGCTCTGTGTATGATATATATGCTCTAGCCTATGCGGTAGGAGATGCCTGGAGCTAGGCCAACTCTTTACAAGTCCCTCTACTTGTAGTTTTTGGTGTGTATTCTTTATGATTAGAAACACTGTAATTGTCAATATCTTTAGTTTCTTTTGAGGAATACTAAATGATAAGTTAGCAATATTCTCTTTTCCCCTCAAGGCGATACTTTTGAAATCTGTTTACTTAGAAGAATCTTGAATCTGTAGAGATCTGAGTGCAATTGTGAATCCAAAGAAAACACCCATCTATTTTCAGCAAGTCTGTGGACTCCAAGTCTTTTCTTAGCCCATTCTTTCAGACCACAGTCAGCCTTTTGTCCCGCAGGACTTCCCTGACATGAATACCCGCAGATGAACAGTCTTTCCCTGTATTGAAAATGATTGTTCTCCGGCCGTAATTGTCTCCTCGTTCCCACCACTGTACTGCAGGATTTTAGGGTAGCTAAGTCTTCCAGAGCCACATGAGTGAAAGGGTTATGCTGGCATCTCCACAAGTCTATACCTTGCTGTTCTCTCCTTTATTCTTCGGTTCACTTTTTATGTTCCAAGTGAGGATACATTCCTACAAGAAAAATATGGAGAATAAGAAAAATCTAGTCTTCTCTTCACCCAAAAGCAATCTTGGTATATTTTCTGAAAGCATTTCAGTGTATTTTCCTGCCATTTTTTTCTACCCATGAGTGTTTACTTTTTGTATTTATAATTATTCTACACAGTTTTACATCCTCTTTTTTTTATTTATAGGAAGCAATTTTTCATCTATAGTAATTACAGAAACATGTAGTTTGTCTTTTTATAAGTGCTTAGGTTCCCTATAGTGAACAGATTATAGTTTGATAATTCTATCACTATTTAATATTTCATTTCCATCCTATCTTTAAAACTATTGTTAGTAATGGTATGAGATACACACACACACACACACACACACATATATATATATATATATAGAGAGAGAGAGAGAGAGAGAGAGAGAGAGAAAGAGAGGGAGATAGATAGATAGATAGATAGATAGATAGATAGATAGATAGATAGATAGAAAATGTTTTATTATGTAGGGCTCTTTTCTACATACAGAGCCTCCTGGATGTCGTTTCTATGATGAAGGGTACCACTTGTCTTTAGATTCTGGTTATATATTGTCAGATTCCTTTATAAATCGGTTTTCTTGAAAACCAGTTTTGCATGTCACCTGCCCACTCAGGAATTTTCATTCCATTACCTCTCTGTTGCCTGTAGGCTGAAGTCCATGTCCTTCTGTTTGCCCTTTTCTCTTTTTGAAGACCAGTTTTCTTTTTGTTTTAACCAGCTGCCTATCACTGAGCATTTACACTGCATCTCAGTTTCCCACATTATAAAAAAAATTGTGCAGGAAATATTCTCTCATGCATTGTATCTTTGCCCATATTTTCTGGATTATTTATTTGGGACAAAGGATCAGAAATAAGATACTGGGTTAAAGAATATTAAATATTCCATGAAACTGATAGCTGAGTTTCTTTTAAATAAGGTGATATCAATTTACAAATTTACCAGCATGTACAATCTTCCTGGAAGTGGGTATAATTTTTTTTAATGCACTTTAAGGGAATATGAGGGGGAGATGACCATGTTGTTTCAGTTTGCATTGCTTTCATTACTAGAGAGGTTGAATTTTTGCCCACATTATTTGTTGGTTAATTGTATTTTCTTCAGCATCACTTTCAAGACCTTCTAAAATTTAGACCTGCCCTTTTCACCTTATCTGCTGTTATTCAAACCCACAAATATTTGTTAAACTCCTGCAAACCACCTTTCC